CTCACACACTCTTATATATATGCATGTACACAAGTGTATCTTTCTCTCTGTTCGGCAGACCGAGGGTACGGCACCTGCGAGATCGACTGGGTCAAAGCGAACTATTCCACCATCCACAAGTCCTACATCATCTCCATCCTCATCTTCTGCTTCTTCGTGCCCGTGCTGATCATGCTGTTCTCCTACGTGTCCATCATAAACACGGTGAAGCGCGGCAATGCCATGTCAGCGGAGGGCGACCTGACCGACAGGCAGCGCAAGATCGAGAGGGACGTCACCATCGTGAGTCTGGCTTCACTGCGTTCAGGAGTGTTTTAGCATTCAGACTTATTTTAGAGTTAGAATAAAATGAGAGAGAAAGAAACAAAGAGAAATATGATGTTTATCTGTGTTACAAATGCCCCAGGCACAGCGTTTAGCATATTTTTGATAAAACTACGACAGTAATAGCCTGCCGAGACCACAAATATGAGACACCTGTGTTAAAGTCAATGGAGCGCTGTGAAAAAGTGTCGGACCTCTGTGGGAGCTCGTTCTTGGCTGCGCTGTGATTGGTCAATCTACATTCTAGGGTGTGGACTGTATTAGTGAGTAGAGTGACTAAATGAACATTATAACAGTAGATGGCAGCAGAGGACCACTCACTGGCTCACTTTCATTTGAAAAGTGTTTAACACGAGTAAACCACGAAAGTAAAGCACATTTTACATGTTAACTTCATAAAGCATGCTTACACATCGCGTTTATGATCGCTGTGGCGCCCCCTACTGGCCAATCAGGGCATACCTTCAAAAGTCTCCTTCATTTATACAGCGCTTTCTACAGCACTGAGAGTTTCAGCTTTACAGAGATACAGGAGAATAATGCAGCAGAGTGTGTGTCCAGGAGAGAATAGCGTCTCCTACCAGCTGATGTCAGTTCAGTGTGTTTGGTCCTCAGGTGTCCATTGTGATCTGCACGGCGTTCATCCTGGCCTGGTCTCCGTACGCCGTGGTGTCCATGTGGTCGGCGTGGGGTTTCCACGTGCCCAACCTCACCAGCATCTTCACGCGGCTCTTCGCCAAGTCCGCCAGCTTCTACAACCCGCTCATCTACTTCGGCTTGAGCTCCAAGTTCCGCAAGGACGTGAGCGTGTTGCTGCCGTGTAGAGGCGACGGGAAAGACACCGTCAAACTCAAGCGCTTCAAAAAGATCAAGGGGAAGGCGGAGGGGGCGTCGCCCAGGAGACCCGAGGAGCAGCGCGAGAAGAAGAGCCGTGCAGGAGGAGAGCCGGCAAACCCCGCCCCCAGCCTTCGCCCCGAGACTCCGCCCCCTCCCGGCAAACAGGTGTACTTCATCACCGCGCCCGAGCCGTCAGACACGCCCGAGTACGAGTGCGCCAGACTGTAGATCACCAGGGATCGGGCCGGTTGCTGTTTTTTTATTTTTCTCTTTTTTTTTTAAATTGGATAACAGAACAATAACAACATGCACATACAGAGGATCACAATGTATTCGACTATGATCTATTACATTCATAATAGCATCAAAGGAAACGGAGAAAAATAATAAAATAAATACTAATAAATTATATGTGAGCGACTTCAGTTTCATGGTAATGATGTAAGCAGCGTGAAAAGCTATTTTTGTAAATGATGGATGTGAATGTGAAATATTGTTTTTTAACAACTGTGTACATCTGCATTATTAAAGACAGTTTTGTGTTTACATGCACTTCATCACAAGATATTAAACTCGAAACATCAAACATTATGATGACATTCCAGTTGTTTTCTTTAATCCTCTCTTGAGTTGGCACTTATTTTGTATATTTTATTGTATATTTTGTGTCAACTATTTATCTTACAAACCAGTATATAACAGTGCATAGGCAATTTGGGATGCGTCTGAAGACTTATACAATCGTACACTTCAGAATCTAGATCTTTGTTTCCCTAAAAATATTTAGGGTACTTAATCTTTTATTTTCTCTTTATCCTCTTCATATGTGTCTCAGTACTTCCTTTAGATATCTGACTTTACATACGAATGTTTTGTTTTGTTTTTTTAACTCTTATGTTCTCCTGAGTGTGTGTATATTTGCATCTGTTTCTTGAATAAAAAAAAAATGAAGATAAATAAAAAGACCCCAAAAATCTCACCGGAAGTAGTTGCTCATCCGGGAACTTTTTGCCTACTTTTTTTTATGAATACGGACATACTTATTTTCAGCTATATAATAGGAAAGTACAGTATGCAGCCGCGATCGCGTCTTTTATAATCGCAGTTAATTAGGCTAATTAATTAATGACGTCTTCAGAATAAAAAGACATTTCGAATGAGTCATAAATGAATGCGCTAAACACAAAGCGGAGCCCTTTAGATCCAGCATTCAGGAGAACACGGGGAGAGATAGTGTAATTAGATAATTGGAGAGTCAGACGTGATTTATACAGTTGTTTTTGGTGACATTAACATCTAATGTGAACATTTCACCTCATGAAAACGCTCGTACGTCTTCGTGCCTTTAATGAAAACACCGTGAAAAAAAAATAATGCGTTTATTTTTGTTCTTGCACTTCTGTCATTTGCTTTCAGTTACACGTGAGATTATAGTTGTTCATATCAAAAATAAAAATTCCTGTGATGAAAGCTGAACACAGTTGTGCTGCTTCATATTTATGGAAACCGTGAAACATTGCTCATTTTCCTTTGCTGAAGAGAAAGATCAGAACAGCATTTATTTTAATTAGAATCTTTTGTAACATTATAAATATCTTTACACTTTGAATGCGTCTTTAATGAATAAAAGTATTACTATCTTTCAAAAAAACAGTGAGAGGTTATGAAAAAAAAAGAAATATGAATTTCAGTCTACTAAAATAATAAATCCTGCAGCGCCCCCTGGTGGCCGCGGTGACTTCCTGCAACATCACCTATGACACGTGACCTTCACATGTGGCTTACATCAATATATCAGAATATCAAATTCTTCATGAAATAATTCTATTTTTGAGCTTAAGAAAAAAAATGTGTATCCACCATTGAAATTTCCAAGACTTTTCCAGGTTTTCCATGAGCGCAGGAACCCATGGAGAGTCACTGCATGAATCACAAAATACAAAACACACGTGAAATACAACATATTCTTTTATTATTGTATTATATTGATAAATGTCCATCTGAGGAAAAAAAAAAGAATACAACAAGAAATCAAGAATAAACTGTAATATCAATAATAAAATATGTACAAGAGGAGTATAGCATTTATTAACAATCTTCCCACTCTCTCTCTATACAACCAAAAGGGTAAAAGTTCAGTGACAGCTCTATACAGGCGGAACCGGAACACGTCTCGTGTGTGACGTCACAGCCCGATCGTCCAATCAAACTCCCTTCAAATTCTCCATCTCAACTCGAATGTTTCCGCTAATCATTGAAGCGCGTCGATCGATCAGTAACCGGTTATTAAATCTCCGTTTAGCACGTTAGTATGTTCAGTAGCCGAGTCCGCTGTACAGTTCCCATCTCTGACCAGCAGGTGGCGCGAACGACTCTCTCAGCACTACATCCGCTCATCCTCAGTTAGCTTCGCAATGTTAATATACACTGTATTCTGGTTCATAAATAGATTGTTGATCAATACTTTAAAACTATACATATTGAGATTCTTTCTTATATATCTAAAATGAATACGCACCGAGAATGAACGAAATCAGAAAATATATTTACTAGTACGAAAACACGCACGCGGTTCCCTTTCAACGTCCCAAACCAGCGCGCGCTCTCTGTGCACGAGCTTAACGTCAAACGTGCCTCAGATTTAAAGGAGAAGAATCCAAACATGAAAAAATAACTATTTAATCACCCTCGTGTTTTAATCGTGTGGAGATTCTGTTCAACACTGTAAAATGAGCAGCTCACTAAGTGTCACAATTATTATTTTGAATAGCCAATATCTCACAATTCAGACTTTATAATATTTTATCCTACAATTCTGAGAAAAAAAGTCAACTTTGAGTTTTAAATTTGGAATTGCGAGAAATTATTCGCAATTGAATTTTTTTCTCAGAATTGGGAGATAAACTCAAAATTCAGAAAAAATGTCAGAACTGTGACAAAAAGTTGCAATTACTTTAAAAAACAACATTGCAAGTATATCTCACAAGTCAATCTTTTTTCTCACAGTTCGGAGAATATAGAGACACAGTTGTGAGAAAGTCAAAACTGTGATATTAAAAAATTACCATTTTTAATAGCGTGTATTTCACAATTTTGACATTTTTTACCCTCAGAATTTCACGTTTATATATCGCAATTAAAGCCCTATCGTATTTTCCTCGTAATTCCTAGTTTGTTTTTTCAATTCTGAGAAAAAAAGTTTTACATTTGTAATTGCGAGAAATTATTCGCACTTTTTTTTCCTCAGAATTTAGAGGGGAAAAAAATCAGAATTGTGATATAAAAAGTAACATAACTTAAAAAAAAAAAAAAAAATTCGTAGAGAAAGTCCCGCGGGTTTGAGGGCGAGTAAACGCTGACAGATTTCACGTTTGGCTGAACTAGTCCTTTAACAACATTTGGTCGAGTAGCAAACCTCCGCCTGAAGGAAACACACAAACACTCAGTTCTCGTGTAGTGCTCGTGTCATCATGTAAAGGCAAACGATCCCCATAAAAGCAGAAATCTCTATCCTAGCAGTTAAAAACACGCAGACCTGCACACGCACGTCTAGAGTTCAAGTAATCACAGACCAATCCAAATAAAGCAGAAGAGTTCAAATAAACAACCTCAACCTGCAAACGTGTGTTACGATCTATCTGCAGCCGACCACCAGTCACACAATGATAAAAAACACTAGTATCTGTTCCAAACTATTACATATCAAATACATAAACCACCACCTGTGCAGCGAGCCGGTGCGGCGGGCGAGCGAGGGCCAATCACGGCGCACCGCATCACCGGTCATTCGTTTGGCATCACAGGCAAAACAAAAGATGAAAAAGGCAAAAATAAATAAACATCACAGATTTCAGACAAATATAGATCCCGAATCGTTGTACTTTGAGTACAGCTTGTCAAAAACTGCAACACATTCAAACTATTATAAGACTTTTTCCGCATAATCACGAATATTCATAAACTCTAATCAAGCGGTCAGCGTTAAGGATCTGACCGGAGAGGGTTTCACAGACGGGCCGTTTTTAAAAATAAAAACATCCATAAACAGGCAAACGGAGTTTTATCAAATCGAGGAGAAACTGCAGGTTTACGCATTAAAATATTAATATTATTAATTCAACGTTAGCGCTTATGAAGGTTGAAGAAGCGCGTCAGAGACGGATCCACCACAGAGCCGAGACTCTAACAGAGAACGAGCAGATCAGGGTTCTGCTGACGGGTCTCGCTGGTCATGTGGCTCCGGGGTGAACGAGCGTCTTGATTGGTTTATATCCCGACACGAACATTTAGAAACGTAGAAGTTTTCTGAGCCGTTTTCATGTTATATTATGTACAGATTGTATTGAATAAATTAACAGCGGCGGACCGGACTCGGATCTGACGCTCGCCTCAGTGTGTTCAGACCATCCGGCTCTAGAACTCGCAATCATGTGACGTATTTGAGTTTAAAAGTTGATTTCCAGGCGCCGGAGAGGAACGGAGAGAGCCCGACTTTCTGGAGACTGTTTGAAGCAAAAGGCACGTCGTTTAAAAGGAGAGGAATAATGCTCACGTCCGGAGAGACATAATGAAAGGGAAATAAAAGAAATTAATCTAGGAAGCGTGTAACTTCCTGTGAGGCTGAACGGAGGAGGAGCCGAGACGCTCCTCGTGTGTGTGTGTGTGTGTGTGTGTGTGCTTCCCCTCGAGCACCAGGCCCGCCCGGATCATCAGCTTCGAGTTCGTGGAAGCGGTTTGGGTCGGAGGTCAGAGGTCATACGAAGACTTTAGCGAGGGCGTCGGCTCCCGCGCTGCCGATGTAGCATTTGCTGGGATGAAACGCCACGTCGTGGATCGACTCGTCGAACTTCTTCCGGTGAGCCGTGAACTCCTGGATGCACGTCTTGTTCTCCATGTTCCACAGACGCACGGAGCAGTCGTGACCTGAGACACACACACACACACACATCAACAACTTCCTCTGACTGATACACACACACACACACAAGGATAACGCTGCTCATAAGTAGAGATTGACTGATGTTGATTGTTTTTGATGACCGATACGGATTTATTTGCATGTTTCTGTGCCGATAGCCGATACACAGAACCGATATTTATCCGTTTATTTGATTTTGACAATTATAAAAACAGCACTAATCTGAGCAAACTGTTTAAAGTCCCCCTGTAGTCAATAACCACGTGATATATACTAATAACTTCAACGTAGAACTGAAGAAACAACAGGTGAGAACTAATGAGAAACCATGGCAACAAACCAGAGCTCAGGCTAAGGAAACCGTGAGCTGGAAACTAAACAGAACGACTGTGTGTTTTAAGGTATAAAGACGGGTGTATTCCTCAGGCCTCACGGCAGACGCCTCTGTTCTACAGTCCGCCTGTAGTCAATCATATTATCCCTTAAAACTCATCTTTGATCAGCGAAATTACATATTTAAACGTTTATTCATGTCTTAAAATATCTTGAATGTAACTCGACACCTCATTTAGTATGCGTGGATCTATGAATATGCAAATGAGCCCCGCCTCCACTCACTCCCTCAGCTCAGAGATCCACTGGTTGACGATCACACGTTGATCTGATTGGTTACAAGGTCGTTTGTGACGTCAGAAACACCAGCGATTTCAAACCGTGTTTTTGAGACTGTCTTTGGTTCACTGCAGTTTTAAGGAGGAAATACTCAGCAATGCTGTCGACTTATGATCTTACACATGGTTTAAGCGTATTAATAACACCACATACACACATAAACAACATTAAACGCTGGATTTTCATCTTTAGATATCGGTAAAATCAGCCAATCTCTACTTATGAGCAAAGCAAAATCTGAGTAAAATTGATGTTTTTAGGGTTTTGAGCCGTTTATGATCTTTCCCTAATGAAAGAACACCATTAAAAGCGTTTGCATGATTATGATCCATATGCGTGAACTTACTGCCGGACATCAGATAGAGTCCATTGGGATCCACCGCGAGACTGGTTACAGCATCGAGATGAGCCACCATAGAGTGAATACACTTGCCTGAGACGAAACATCAACATAAGCATCATCATCATCATCATCATCATCATAATAATAACTGTGGGCTCTTGATGTCCCTCTGTTACCGGTGTTATTGTCGAAGAAGCGTATGTGCCGATCCTCCTGTGCCGTTACGGTGATGGGAAGCGTCGGGTGGCTCAGGACTTTATTGATCTGACACGGCGCATCTGAAGATCAGACAGGTCAGAGGTCAGAGAGGATCATGGGATGTTACCAGACACTCATCTTCTATTTATAGGGCAGTTTACGTTTTTATTAACTTTATTTAATAGGGCGGTTTTAGTTAAAAAAATATATAATTATCGGGCAGTTTTATTTATTTAAATTTTTTTATTTATAGGGCAGTTAAATTTTTTTTTTTTTTTAAAGGGCAGTTTTAGGGGAGGGGGGGTTCAATTTTTTTATTTATGGGGCAGTTTAATTTATTTTAATTTTTTATATATAGGGCAGTTTCTTTTTTTTATAGGGCAGTTTTAGTTTAAAAAAAAAAAATATTTATGAGGCAGTTTTAGTTTTTTTAAAATATATTTATAGGGCAGTTTTATTTTTTTTTATTTTTAACAGGGCAGTTTTATTTTTATTTTTTATTTTATTTATAGGGCAGTTTTTTTTGTTTTTTATAGGGCAGTTTTAGTTTTTTTTCAATTTTTTTTTATTTATGAGGCAGTCTTAGGTTTTTTTTTTGATAGGGCAGTTTAATTTATTAATTTTTTTTATTTATTTATGGGGCAGTTTTAGTTTAAAAAAATATATTTATGGAGCAGTTTTTTAAAAATTATTATTAATTTATTTATAGGGTAGTTTTAGATTAATTCTTCTTTTTATAGGGCAGTTTTAGTTTTTTTTAATTTATAGGGCAATTTCATTTTTTTTTTTTTTTTTTTTTACAGGGCAGTTTTTTTTATTTTTTTATTTATGGGGCAGTTTTATTTTAATTTTATTTATAGGGCTTTTTTTGTTTTGTTTTTTTTATAGGGCAGTTTTAGGGTTTTTTCCCCCCAATTTTTTATTTTAAAATTATTTTAATTTTATTTATGAGGCAGTTTTATTATTATTATTTTTTTAATAGAGCAGTTTTATTTATTTTAAATTTTTTTATTTATGGGGCAGTTTTAGTTATATTTTTATTTATTTATTTATGTATGGAGCAGTTTTTTTGGTTTGTTTTTTTTTATAGGGCGGTTTTAGGTTTTTTTTTGTCACGTACCAATAACAGGAATTAATACATACCAGTGTACAAATATATAACTACAAATAAAAGAAAATAATAAATTGGTAGGTGTAATTTGTCAACATTGCCTAATGCATTAGCTAGCATGGACTAACAATGAGCTATTTATTTTCACAGCATTTATTAATCTTCATGTTAGTTAATAAAAAGTTGCTCATTGTTAGTTCACTAATGTACAACGTTTGATATGAAAAATGTATTATTAGTCATGTTTTAGTGTTTAAATGAATAAAGATTAATAAATGCTGTAGAAGTTTTGTTGTTTGTTAGTTCTAGTTAATGTAGTTAATTAATGTTAACAAATAGAACATTATTGTAAAGTGTTGCCAATAAATCATTTAAAAATGGAATTCTAACCACTCTGAAAAATATATATTTTTTTTTTAAAGGATTTTAAGCGTCAAGCGTTCTGTTCTCGGTGAATGTGAAACACTGTGGCAAACAGCAGAACATTAGAGATATGAATGTGTGTGTGCAGAGCTGGTGTCTGATGTGGTAATATTACCGGGTTTCCCGGCGGCCTGCGACTCCAGCTCCAGGATCATCTGTCGGGTCTCCATGTTGAAGATGCCGGTCCTGCCGTTGCTGAAGGACGTCACCATGTGAGCCGGGTCACAGCACACCAGATCCACTGACGACGGGACGCCCAGTTCTGGAGCACAGGCAAACACACACGGGTCTCTCACACGGTTCACACCACATTCATAAACTCAGCTTTTATTTTTGTAAACTGATCATTAAGCTAAATCATTCTTTAAGACTCAATTATTTTGGGGCGTGTTTCGAACCCTATATGAGCTAATCATAATCATTAACTGATATACATTTTTTAAATTAAATAAAATAATAAAACATAATAAAAGTCTTAAAGAATTAAAGAATGACTTCATATTTTATTTTATGTATTTTGGGGTGAATTTCAATCCTAATATCATCTAACCAGAATTACAAATGACAGCAAAATAATGAAATTTAAAAAATAAAAATTTGTAAACTGATGTGTTAAATCATATTTCTTTGTTATTTTGGGGTGTATTTCAATCCTGATATCATCTAACCATGATCATTAATGACAGTAATAAAACAAACAAAAAAAGATTATTCATTCATAATATATATATATATATATAGTGGTATGTGGTAAATCTTTCTTTAAAGGTACAGTGTGTAATAAATGCAATATCATAAACATAACTGTGTGTTCAGTGGTGTATAAAGATCTTACATAATGAAGCGTTATGTGTTTATTAGCTTAGACTGAGGCGTTTCTCTCTACACACACCGCGGGTCCGCTTACACACACATGTTTCTACAGTGGCCCTGAGCGGACAAACCCGTTTCATCACTATGTTGTTCTTCATGATAAGAAGCTGCTAAAGTCAGCGAATAAAACACTGACACAATGATGAACAAGTCACAATAATATTCGCAATAACATCGTTTTACTGAATAATCAAGTAAACCTAATTTCTCAATTTATCTTTGTAAAGAAACCTCATTGGTTAACTGGCTACTGTTACTGTCTCAGACGACGACATCACTTCCTGTCGGCCACCGTAACTTCTGTTGGGTGCAGTTCACAACCTCACCACTAGATGCCGCTAAAACTTACACACTGCACCTTTAAGACTTTTATTATGTTATTTTATGTTATTTTGGGGTCAGTTTCAATGCTGATATCATCTAACTATCATCATCATTAACAAAATAAAGAGAAAACAGATCATTATTAAACTATTATCATTCATAAAATATTATAAAATACAAAAATAAAATATAAACAATATTTTTTTGCAAACGGAAGTGTTAAATATGTATGTGTATGACCTTGGTTCTGGTTGAAGAGGGCGATGGCGGGAGCAGCGTCTGCAGCGTTCCAGAGTCTCACGGTCCCGTCAGCGGAGCAGGACAGCAGTGTGTGATGAGCCGAGCTGTAGACCAAACCCCACACTGCATCTGTGTGTCCACACAATGACCCGCGCAGCACTGACGGCTCTATCAGAGAGAGAGAGAGAGATAGAGAGAGATAAAGAGTGTCAGTCATCAAAGCGCATCCATCCATCATAAAAGTGCATCTGTCCATCATAAAAGTGCATCTATCCATCATAAAAGTGCATCTATCCATCATAAAAGTGCATCTGTCCATCATAAAAGTGCATCAGTCCATCATAAAAGTGCATCTATCCATCATAAAAGTGCGTCTGTCCATCATAAAAGTGCATCTGTCCATCATAAAAGTGCATCTATCCATCATAAAAGTGCGTCTGTCCATCATAAAAGTGCATCTGTCCATCAAAAAAGTGCATCTATCCATCATAAAAGTGCATCTATCCATCATAAAAGTGCATCTGTCCATCATAAAAGTGCATCTATCCATCATAAAAGTGCATCTATCCATCATAAAAGTGCGTCTGTCCATCATAAAAGTGCATCTGTCCATCATAAAAGTGCATCTATCCATCATAAAAGTGCATCTATCCATCATAAAAGTGCATCTATCCATCATAAAAGTGCATCTATCCATCATAAAAGTGCGTCTGTCCATCATAAAAGTGCATCTGTCCATCATAAAAGTGCATCTATCCATCATAAAAGTGCATCTATCCATCATAAAAGTGCGTCTGTCCATCATAAAAGTGCATCTGTCCATCATAAAAGTGCATCTATCCATCATAAAAGTGCATCTATCCATCATAAAAGTGCATCTGTCCATCATAAGTGCATCTGTCCATCATAAAAGTGCATCTGTCCATCATAAAAGTGCATCTGTCCATCATAAAAGTGCATCTATCCATCATAAAAGTGCATCTGTCCATCATAAAAGTGCATCTATCCATCATAAAAGTGCATCTGTCCATCATAAAAGTGCATCTATCCATCATAAAAGTGCATCTGTCCATCATAAAAGTGCATCTATCCATCATAAAAGTGCATCTGTCCATCATAAAAGTGCATCTATCCATCATAAAAGTGCATCTGTCCATCATAAAAGTGCATCTATCCATCATAAAAGTGCATCTATCCATCATAAAAGTGCATCTGTCCATCATAAAAGTGCATCTATCCATCATAAAAGTGCATCTGTCCATCATAAAAGTGCATCTATCCATCATAAAAGTGCATCTGTCCATCATAAAAGTGCATCTATCCATCATAAAAGTGTATCTGTCCATCATAAAAGTGCATCTATCCATCTTAAAAGTGCATCTGTCCATCATAAAAGTGCATCTATCCATCTTAAAAGTGCATCTGTCCATCATAAAAGTGCATCTATCCATCATAAAAGTGCATCTGTCCATCATAAAAGTGCATCTGTCCATCATAAAAGTGCATCTGTCCATCATAAAAGAGCATCTGTCAATAATCAAAGTGCATCTGTCCATCATAAAAGTGCATCTATCCATCATAAAAGTGCATCTGTCCATCATAAAAGTGCATCTATCCATCATAAAAGTGCATCTGTCCATCATAAAAGTGCATCTATCCATCATAAAAGTGCATCTGTCCATCATAAAAGTGCATCTATCCATCATAAAAGTGCATCTGTCCATCATAAAAGTGCATCTATCCATCATAAAAGTGCATCTATCCATCATAAAAGTGCATCTGTCCATCATAAAAGTGCATCTATCCATCATAAAAGTGCATCTGTCCATCATAAAAGTGCATCTATCCATCATAAAAGTGCATCTGTCCATCATAAAAGTGCGTCTGTCCATCATAAAAGTGCATCTGTCCATCATAAAAGTGCATCTATCCATCATAAAAGTGCATCTATCCATCATAAAAGTGCATCTATCCATCATAAAAGTGCATCTATCCATCATAAAAGTGCGTCTGTCCATCATAAAAGTGCATCTGTCCATCATAAAAGTGCATCTATCCATCATAAAAGTGCATCTATCCATCATAAAAGTGCGTCTGTCCATCATAAAAGTGCATCTGTCCATCATAAAAGTGCATCTATCCATCATAAAAGTGCATCTATCCATCATAAAAGTGCATCTGTCCATCATAAGTGCATCTGTCCATCATAAAAGTGCATCTGTCCATCATAAAAGTGCATCTGTCCATCATAAAAGTGCATCTATCCATCATAAAAGTGCATCTGTCCATCATAAAAGTGCATCTATCCATCATAAAAGTGCATCTGTCCATCATAAAAGTGCATCTATCCATCATAAAAGTGCATCTGTCCATCATAAAAGTGCATCTATCCATCATAAAAGTGCATCTGTCCATCATAAAAGTGCATCTATCCATCATAAAAGTGCATCTGTCCATCATAAAAGTGCATCTATCCATCATTAGGGTTGGGTATCGTTTGGGTTTTATCCGATTCCAGTACCTACTCGGTATTTTTTAAACGGTTCCGGTGCTTAAACGGTTCTTAAATCGGTACTTAAGAAAATGAAACCGCACACACTTTATCAAAAAATAATACCCTTTAATTTACAGGGCCAAACTGGACACAATATTAACTTAAATCTTTAAACAATATAAATACAAGTAACATATGGTAATAATAAATCCAATATAAAATAAAAATTCATATTTACATAATATCAAATGAAACAATATTTTATCAAACAATGTAATAATACTGGAGATTAATAGAGATTACTAGCAGGCAGAGCTGCCAACTCTCACGCATTGACCGTGAGACTCACGCAAATGACCCTTTTCACACAGAAAAATCGCGGACAAAGAGGACACTGACAGACAAGACAGAGAAGGTTACTTTTGATATGGAACAAATCCACAGCTGTCAGATTCTGTCAATATTTTTACGAGATTCACACAATAAATAACGTTTTGGCTCTTTGAAATGTGACAGATCGCTGTAGCGCGTCAGTTCAAACGGCACGTGATACAGCAGCCTACAAATACAAATCCACTGCTTCTTCGCTACGCAGCGGTGAGTGAACCTATGAAAGAGAACATCTCTGGTTGGTGTAACATATCTCTCAATAGGGAACGGGACGCAGCCAAGCTCCTCGCGCTGCCGACCAGCTTCCTTTTTCGGCAGAGAAATCTGAGGAGCAGATGGCGCGCGCGCGCCAACATAGTATGACGACGTAAGTGCGTCGATGCGGCGCCATCAGCCAATGAATTGGCTTGATTCTATATGGGATTCAGACTATCGGCACACCCAGAGGGCGTTCTGACACGTAATTTTACACGTGAAATGCAGCCAAACCTTGCGAGAAAGAGCGCGCATGCGAGACAGAAGAAACTGTGCTCCAAACTGTGTAGCACACGCACGGCGGAGAGAGAGAGAGCGAGAGACCTTGCGTGTGTGTGTGTGCGCGTGTGTGCCTAATGAAGTTAGGCACCGAAATCAGGCACCGAAATTTTCTTTCTTATTCGGTCTGGTTACTACCGTTTACGTCGGAACCGGTTCCCTATTGGCACCGAGTTTCGGTACCCAACCCTATCCATCATAAAAGTGCATCTATCCATCATAAAAGTGCATCTGTCCATCATAAAAGTGCATCTATCCATCATAAAAGTGCATCTGTCCATCATAAAAGTGCATCTATCCATCATAAAAGTGCATCTGTCCATCATAAAAGTGCATCTATCCATCATAAAAGTGTATCTGTCCATCATAAAAGTGCATCTATCCATCTTAAAAGTGCATCTGTCCATCATAAAAGTGCATCTATCCATCTTAAAAGTGCATCTGTCCATCATAAAAGTGCATCTATCCATCATAAAAGTGCATCTGTCCATCATAAAAGTGCATCTATCCATCATAAAAGTGCATCTGTCCATCATAAAAGTGCATCAATCCATCGTAAAAGTGCACCTGTCCATCATAAAAGTGCATCAATCCATCATAAAAGTGCATCTGTCCATCATAAAAGTGCATCTGTCCATGATAAAAGTGCATCTGTCCATCATAAAAGTGCATCTATCCATCATAAAAGTGCATCTATCCATCATAAAAGTGCATCAATCCATCATAAAAGTGCATCTGTCCATCATAAAAGTGCATCTGTCCATCATAAAAGTGCATCTATCCATCATAAAAGTGCATCTGTCCATCATAAAAGTGCATCTATCCATCATAAAAGTGCATCTATCCATCATAAAAGTGCATCTGTCCATCATAAAAGTGCATCTGTCCATCATAAAAGTGCATCAATCCATCATAAAAGTGCATCTGTCCATGATAAAAGTGCATCTGTCCATCATAAAAGTGCATCTATCCATCATAAAAGTGCATCTGTCCATCATAAAAGTGCATCAATCCATCATAAAAGTGCATCTGTCCATCATAAAAGTGCATCTGTCCATGATAAAAGTGCATCTGTCCATCATAAAAGTGCATCTATCCATCATAAAAGTGCATCTGTCCATCATAAAAGTGCATCTATCCATCATAAAAGTGATAAGCAAAACTACAAGTGTGTCCCTTCGAGTAATCAGAAGTTCTACACACACTTGCTGTCTTCACGCCGACTTGAACACTTGGGCCAAATAGAGGAAAAACGTCATGCAAGTGGACAAGTGGGGTTGGGAGTGCTCTCACACACACACACACAGGAGCGTACCGTAGGAGTCGTAGGGGTCGATGTTGGGGTTGGGAGTGTTCCAGCTCTGAATGGATCCGTCTAAACCCCCGCTGAAACACTGGTCTCCAGTCGAGCTCATCACCACACACAGAACCGGACCCCTGCGGACCAGAACACCAGCAGAACATGTTCAGATGATCATTAAAGAGCAGTTCCCGTCTGTGTTCAGTGTGTGATGTTGCTGTGTGATCATGAGAAGCTCCAGTTCTCCTCTATATCAGCGTCAGTGTTCCTGAACTCCTGAAACGCCTCCACTGTAGTCTTGAGTTTCGAACACGTCACAATATTCCTCATTATAATAATTCATACGCAGAATAAAGGGGCGGGGCCTGGTTGAGTTAGTTAGTAGTGTGTTAAACTGGCGGTTATGGAAAGGGGCGGGGCATTTCCCAAACACACTCAAAGCGCTCGACCAATCACAACACACTGCTCCAGCCGACCAATCAGAGCACAGTGTGCTTTCAGGAGGAGGGGCTTCATAGAGACAGGAAGTAAACAGGGCAGTGTTTCCCGAAAGCATCGTTAGACAACTATGGTCGTTATCAGCAGTTTAACGAGTCATGTTTCAGGAAACCATCGTACTATGTATTATACAAATGTATTACTTTAGGAGGGAAATCTGATCATGAATTAGCTGATGATTTTAACTCTTTTTATACACGTTTTGATATTCATGATTTTTCAAAAGAACTGTCTGATTATTGTGGGAATTCAGTGACTCAGAATACTACTGTTAAACTTCAAATTAATAAAGCTGATGTACGTAGTTGTTTTAAACAGGTTAAGGTTGGGAAAAGTCCAGGCCCTGATAACATTAGTGGTAGGCTGCTGAGGAACTGTGCAGAGCAGCTCTCAGGGATTTATTCATTTATTTTTAGTGAATCATTACAACTTTCTAAAGTCCCTCGTCTATGGAAAGATGCCATAGTGGTGCCAATTGCGAAAAAAAGAGATTCTCCTTCTCTGAAAGATTATAGGCCTGTTGCACTAACCTCCTTGGTTATGAAATCTTTTGAAAAAATAGTAAGGAAGGAGATTTTAGCCTTAACACAGTCAGCACTTGATCCTATGCAGTTTGCATATAGATCTGGCAGAGGAGTTGATGATGCCACTTGTACCCTACTGAATATGATTTTAAGACATTTGGAAGGCAAAAAAAAATCATGTACATTTGCTATTTATTGATTTTTCTTCTGCTTTTAATTGTGTTCAGCCTTTTATTTTGGCAAAGAAATTGATTGATAATTTTCACTTAGATTTTAACATTGTGTGTTGGTTGGTGGATTTTTTAACTAATAGATCCCAAAGAGTACGTGTCAATGGAGTGTTGTCGAATGTACTGTGGTCTTCCACTGGTACCCCACAGGGTTGTGTTCTGTCCCCTCTTTTATACTGATGACTGTCGTAGTACTTTTAATGGGAGACACATTGTTAAATGTGCGGACGACTCTGTGATTGTGTCGCTTCTTAATGAGTTTGAATCAGACTTTGGTCCAGTGACAGATCATTTTATCAAATGGTGTGATGCTTCATTTCTAAATATTAATGCCTCAAAAACAAAAGAGATGTTCATTGATTTCCGTAAGAAGAACTCTGTACCTGTGTTGCCTTCTGTCATAAAGGGACATCAGGTAGAAGTGGTTACACAGTACAAATATTTAGGGACTGTATTTGATGACAAACTACAATTTGAGGCAAACACTGATATCATTAGAGGAAAGGCTCTTCAGCGTATGTATTTTCTAAGGAAACTTCGAACTTTTAACATGGATGTTTCTTTTATGAAAATGTTTTATACTTGTTTTATTGAAGCTGTTTTAAGTTCTTCTATTATTTGTTGGTATGATAATCTTAATGTTAAGAATAGGAGGAAGTTGACAAGCATAGTCACAATGTGTAGCAAGATAGTTGGGATCGATTTAAGGACCATCACACAAATTTATGAGCATAGGATGACTAGGAAGGGCCAGTTAGTCCTTTCTGATGTCACTCATCCATTATGTACTGAACTTCAACTACTTCCTTCAGGACGGAGATTTAAACTCCCCTTGTGTAAATCAAATAGACACAGAAATTCCTTTATACCTGCTGTAATTAGGTTTTTAAATGATTGATTGTAATTTGTGTGTTGTGTTGTTATATGTGCATGTGTATACTGCTGTCTACACAAAGAATTGCCTTTGAGGACAATAAAGTTTAAAGTTAAGTTACTAACAAACATTCGCAAACAGCATCGCAGAGGTGTGTGTGTGAGCGACAGATCTCACGCTGCGGTTAGAAGAGGAGTTTCTCGTTTGCATGACATGTGGACTCAGTTAATCCTGATCTTGAGCAAAATCAGCAAGCTGACATTCAGTGCAATCATATCTTTTATGCAGAACACACACTAATGTCTCAAATATTCCTCAGAAGCATGTCTGTAATCTATAGCAAAACATCCAGCGTTAGTTCGATCTCAAACAGATTCATTAACAGTAGTTATTACTCCAAACACATGCGTGACATCATTAACCAGCGCGGGTGAACGACCAATTAGCAACAATATGGTTTCAGGAAACAGACGAGACTCGCTAGTGGATTTCTAACCGCAGCTCGAGATCTGTCGCTCACACACACACCTCTGCGATGCTGTTTGCGAATGTTCGTTAGAACGATGGTTTCGGGAAACACGACTCGTTGAACTGCTGATAACGACGAAACTTGTGACCGTAGTTGGCTAGCGATGCTTTCGGGAAACAAGAGCGTTACTGACAGACCGGGGAGAGAGGAGCCGCAACAATGGAGAATATGAGGAGAATAATCAACATTCAAGCAGGAAAAGCTGTTCTAGTGGAGCCTGAAAACAACATGACATAATTGCTCAACATAGAGTTTAGAACACGTGTTTATATTCTGGAAGACCTGTACCTGTGAGCCCTGAACGTGTAGATGGGCTCGACATCAAGAGCTGCACACCTGAAAGCACAAACACAAGAGTGTGAGGAGCCGACCCGAGGGAAGCTCAGAGAACCAGCTCTACAGGCTCAGGGAGGGTCGGGTCCGCTCGGGCGGTGCCAGTCCGGTACCCAACCCTCACAGAACCGTGCAGTGAGATCAGACTGACTTCTTGGTTGGTGCCGTCTTCTGCAGGTTCCACATCTTCAGCGTGTGGTCTTCAGACGCGGTGATCAGAACCGGCTCCACCGGGTGGAACGCCAGGCCGCGGATCGAGTCGAAGTGGTTCCTGAGGGTGAACTTCGGGTTCCACGTCTTGCGCAGGGCGTCTTTGTTGTTCGTGATCTGAGGAGAGTAGCAAACACATCGGCATGGCGATGAACGGACGGACATTAACATTAGTCATGATTTTAATATATACAGTCAAACCTACATTTATTCAACATTTCTCACATTATCACAGTATAATGTGATATATTACATATATATATATAACATTATATTGTTTATGTGTCTATGTGGTGTGTTTAATATGCTTTAAGACAAATCATGTGTACATTCATAAGTCGACAGCATTGCTGAGTATTTTCGGTCGAATTTGTATTAAATGCATGCCAGTGATTTTACATAATGCGAGATCTAACCAGATAAAATAATATTAATGCCTGATGGTTTCATGTGTAAAACAAAGCCCTCTAAAGCTGCATAATGTGTTTCTGAACATTAGGGCTGCCCTCGACTAAAGACTTTTCAAGTCGACTAGTAGTCGTTCATTTAAGCCATTAGTCGACTAATCGCGCGTTTATATTAGTAAGTCATAAATCATAATAATGAGCCTTTAATTGCCATTATGAAACACCTAGCCTAATCAGCACTCAAATGTACATAATCTGAGAATATTTATTTTCCATTTGAATCTGTGCATTCAAATGTAGACATTTCAAGCTTTCTATAGATATATTTCTCATGTCTGTGAAGCAAGTACACACTGAGTTTCGGTTCATTTGTGTGAGGCGCTCAAAGTTCACTGAGACCGAATCGGCAGAAAGCAGGATTATTTTACAAAAGCACAACGTTTTGTTGTTATTGTGAGTTTTAAAAAAATAAAAGTAGACCCTTTACAGTTTGCATTACTCTAATCTGTATGACCGAAAATGACGGAGTATTTTAAGTAAAATGCAGTGATGTGTGTGACATGAAGTAAACTCTTTCCACACACACACTTACAGTATGTGCCTAATAATAGCACATTTATCTGTTAACATTATATCGAGAGGACTTGTAAAGTTGCTACTTACTGTACATGTTTGAAGTGATGAGCCATATTTGAGGTGGATGAATGAACGATCTGTCGTCACAAGCCTGCGTGATTTTTTTTTTCTGGGACTAACCGACTAATAAAGTCTTAGTCGACCAAACCTCTTCTAGTCGGCTAACGGTGAGTGGACTGTTAGGGGGCAGCCCTACTGAATTTTGAGTAAAGATTGTATTGCCGGAATTGAAGATTTAGTAGTAGTTATGATAATAGCCCTGTACTCACGTCGTAGGACAGAGTCTCGGCCTCGTTGGCCACGGTGAGCCCGGCGAGTTCTCCCAGACCCAGCTCGCTCTCCAGCGCCTCGTCAGAACCCATGATGAAGGACTTTCCCGAGGACGGAGGAAAGGTCAGGGCTTCCACTGCAACACACACACACAAACACACACACACACACACACACACACACACACACACACACACACACACACACACACACACACACACACACACACATGAGCCGCTTGCAGAGATGGGATCATTCAACTCAATTCAATTCAATTCACATGTATTTGTAAAGCGCTTTTCACAACACACATCGTTTACAGCTTTACAGAAAGTGCATGAGTCCACATTACAGTTTACAGTGATCTGTCATCAGAGGAGACTGTCTGAGTTATGCATTTCAGTAATGCACATATACAAAATCACAGTTAGTGAAAAAGGTATTCATTTAAACAATCTATTAATTTAAGGCAGAAACAATGAGCTCATTAAAGTAATGAATACTTGTTCGTTAAAGGGGTCATCGGATGCAAGATTCACTTTTATATGGTGTGTGCATATAGATGTGTGTGTGCAGTGTGTGGACACAACCACCAGACAATGAAGAAAAACTCATTCACTCCTTTTTATTTAATCCTCTAAAGGTCTGAACACTCTCAATAATCAAGCGTTTGGATTTTCTGAGCAATATGATGTCATAATGCTCATGCTCCGCCCACGACCGCTGACAGACTGCCCCCTATTAGCATATTCCCCGTATTAGCATATTCCCCGTATTAGCATATTTCCCGTATTAGCATATTTCCGCCCTCAGCCATTTGTATACAGTCCGCCAAGGCATCACTTCATGTGTCTTGTGTGTATATATATATATATATATCTCTATAGTGTCGAGACGCCCCATGGGGGAGCAGTGGCTAATTATCACTTAAAGAGACATGCACCGGAACGGGTCGCTGTGAACAGAGCTGTGTTTGAGGAGGTAAAGAGTGTGTTGTTTTCAGTGTTGGGCAAGTTACTTTTTAAAAGTAATTAGTTACAGTTACTAGTTACTTCTTCCAGAAAGTAACTAAATTAGTTACCCAGTTACAAATTTTAAAAGTAACTAGTTACTTGAGAAAGTAACTATTGCATTACTTTCAAGTAAAATTAAATTTTAAATGCTCAAATGTTACCCCACATACCCCTCTTTAACGGAACTTAAAATACATGTGCATGTTCAATTATTTATGATAAATCTGAATATTATAATGAAATGGACACTTATACAATACATTATTAACAGAAACATGAAACATTGTACACACATCTAAAAAAAAAAAAAATGTTGCTGTGGGACAAAGTGAGACTAGCCTCCAATCAAATGCCATGTATGTAGATATTATGTTTATATAGTGGATCAATGCAAATAACACAATAGATGTTTTGGAACTTTTGATATTTATTGCCCCTCAACAGGCCACAACTGGGCAAAATTAAATTAAGCTTGTTAAGATCGTCGCCATACCTGTCTCTCGTTGACTGACTGGCTTGTGTTGTTCCTTGTGTGTCCTGTCCTGTCCGACTATGCGTTATGATTCACAATTCATGAGCGTTAGCCGTTAGTGATGATGGGTCGTTCGCGAATGAGCGTTAGTGATGATGGATCGACTCGTTCGCGAATGAGCGTTAGTGATGATGGATCAACTCGTTCGCGAATGAGCTTTTGATGGGTCGTTCGTGATTCGCGAATGAGCCGACTCTAAGACCCGGCTCTTTTAGGTGAACGTCGGGAGCTGGCTCGCATATCTGAAGAGCCGACACTATTTTTACAAATTTAGCCTATAGAAATTCAATAATTATGTAATAAAAATTTAAATATTATAGTCAAAGTCATTTAAAGAGCCGTTTGTGAGCCAAAAGAGCCGGCTCTTTTCAGTGAGCTAAGTCAAAAGAGCCGAATGCCCATCACTACTATGCGTGCTTTCGAACACCCGCCCAACTCTACCTCTGATTGGCTTACGATGACATTTTACTCTACCTCAGCCAATCGTCAGCATTTATGCGCTTGTCTCGTGCTCTGCCCACTAACCAAGGAAGAACAGTAAAAAAAGTATTTGCCTCTCGCTCAGAGATCTAGTTGGTCTGATGAAAAAAACCCCAGCTTCATCAGTTATAGTAACGCGCCACATTTTTTGGCAGTAACGGTAACGGCGTTATTTAAATGAGAAGAGTAATCAATTAGATTACTCGTTACTGGAAAAAGTAATGCCGTTAGTAACGGCGTTATTTATAACGCCGTTATTCCCATCACTGGTTGTTTTACACAAACATGAGGAATCTGAACCAAAATATGTTACAAACTTTACATGAAGACCCTGAAGAATCACACAACTTGTGGAAAATGGGCATCGACGACCCCTTTAACAAATGATCATAAACTGATGGTGTTTGTGCTGAGGCTGGAATACCCTCATCGGTGCGGCCCAGCTGGTTCTCGTTGAGGCGGGGTAAGTTGGGACGCACCGGCGGCGCCACCGGAGGCTGAATAGACGACAAATCCTCCGCGTCTCGCAGATTAGCCAGCATGTCCTGTAGCTTACACCGGTTCGGCCCTACGAACACAACACAACACCATTCATCTACTTCTGTGGGTGTAAAAGTCCCCGTCAGAACTCGGCCCACCTTTGAGCATTTCTAGTCTATAACCAGAAGCATTTCTCTTTCTATGCTTCATCGAAGGCGTACGGTTCAGGATTAGCTGAGGGTGGACTGTGTTCTGACGAGGGGATTTGGCACAGAGAAGCAGTGGGAAGAAATCAGAGCGAAAAACCAGTGAAAGAAAAGTGATAATTGAGGAGGTAAGCAAGCGACTCTGTACTAAGGGGGTGGAGCCTGGGTTATATACACGCCCACATGGGGGCGGAGACAACAAGCCACACCCCTTTCAAAGCACCAGCATGAAATGCAACAGAAGTGAGCAGTAAAGCGTCTCAGAAATAATAAACAGAAGGAGAAAAGAAACAGTAGTTGTGTTTGAGATGCAGCTGCATCCTAAAAGAACAGGTGATGGAGAACAGAAACGGAGAGCACTCGTTTATTCAGGGCAACGGATGAAAGGAGGAAAAGCAGGGGTGGATGACAGGATAAACACATGAACACGTGACCGGATGGGTGACGGGAAGAACTGAAGAGACCTGCTGGTTTTTGTCAAACTAATGATTTTTGAGAGAAAGAAATTAAATGGGTACATTAGAATAAATTAGTGATAAACCGATATTTCAGGCCAATTAAACGACCAATAACTGGCATTTTGTCATCATCAGTGTGATGTCACTGGTTGGCCCATGACCAGAAATGGAGGTTGGTTTCCATTTTTAAACATTTTTTAATTAATATTTAAAAATACTGAATCTCATAAAACCTGCACAGACACGTTCGCTCAGATTTCCTCAAAATAAAACTGTGCAAAAATATAATTTCTCATTTTTTTCAAAGAAAATTAAGCCTATTTTGAGGACCATCCATCCATCATCCATCCATCCATCAGTCCATCAATCCATCCATCTGTCCATCCATCCATCCATCCATCTATCATCCATCTGTCCATCAATCCATCTATCATCCATCCATCTGTCCATCCATCCATCCATCCATCCATCTATCTATCATCCATCCATCTGTCCATCATCCATCCATCCATCAATCATCCATCCATCAATCATCCATCCATCCATCCATCCATCTATCTATCATCCATCCATCTGTCCATCATCCATCAATCCATCTATCATCCATCCATCTGTCCATCCATCCATCCATCTATCTATCATCCATCCATCTGTCCATCATCCATCCATCCATCAATCATCCATCCATCAATCATCCATCCATCCATTTTTTCATCTGTCCATCATCCATCCATCGTCCACCCATCCATCTGTCCATCATCCATCCATCCATATATCGTCCTGCATACATCATCCATCCATCCATCATCATCCATCCATCCAATCATCATCCATCCATCAATCCATCCATCCATCATCCATTCATCAATCATCCATCCATCCAATCATCCATCCATCCATCATCATCCATCCATCCATCATCATCCATCCATCCATCCATCAATCATCCATCCATCCATCATCCATCCATCAATCATCCATCCATCCATCCATCCATCAATCATCCATCCATCAATCATCCATCCATCCATCCATCCATCCATCATCATCCATCCATCCATCAATCATCCATCCATCATCCATCAATCCATCTATCATCCATCCATCTGTCCATCCATCCATCCATCCATCCATCTATCTATCATCCACCCATCTGTCCATCATCCATCCATCCATCAATCATCCATCCATCAATCATCCATCCATCCATTTTTTCATCTGTCCATCATCCATCCATCGTCCACCCATCCATCTGTCCATCATCCATCCATCCATATATCGTCCTGCATACATCATCCATCCATCCATCATCATCCATCCATCCAATCATCATCCATCCATCAATCCATCCATCCATCATCCATTCATCAATCATCCATCCATCCAATCATCCATCCATCCATCATCATCCATCCATCCATCATCATCCATCCATCCATCCATCAATCATCCATCCATCCATCCATCCATCATCCATCCATCCATCCATCAATCATCCATCCATCCATCCATCAATCATCCATCCATCCATCCATCCATCCATCCATCCATCATCATCCATCCATCCATCAATCATCCATCCATCATCCATCCATCCATCAATCTATCATCCATCTATCATCCATCCATCCATCAATCATCCATCCATCAATCAATCAATCATCCATCCATCCATCCATATATCCATCCATCCATCCATATATCCATCTGTCCATCATCCATCCAACAATCATCCATCCATATATCGTCCTGCATACATCATCCATCCATCTATCATCCATCCATCTATCATCCATCCATCTATCATCCATCCATCCTCCATCCATCTATCATCCATCCATCCATCCATCCATCCATCCATCCATCTATCATCCATCCATCAGTCCATCAATCATCCATCCATCATCCATCCATCCATCTATCTTTGCACGTTGCAGGTATGTTTCTAGTATGATTTAGCCCGTTGCTAGCATGTATATATGTAATTATATTCCCTGCTATAGATGGCCTGTGCAGGTGTTAGTGAGGTTCACTGATATTAGCGCTCTCTCGGCCGTCCTGTGCTCCAGATATCAGTCGTTGAAGAGCCGACATCGGTCGACCACTAGAAGAAGAAACACAGGAATGAGAGAGAGAGACGGCGAGCGAGGGTCCGGTCCGACTTACTCTTCACCCCCTTCTTGCCCTTGCGCTCCTTCTTGTACTGTTCCTTGAGTTTAGAGATCAGGCCCTCATCCACGTCCCAGGACTCAGACGAGGGGCTCTGCTCTTCCTTCTCTACACGGGGGAGGAGGGAGGAACACACGTTATACGCCACGCCGAACCATTCCTGCGCTTCACTTGCAGACGATAAAAACGATTTAAAGGTGCAGTGTGTAAGTTTTAGTGGCATCTAGTGGTGAGGTTGTGAACTGCACCCAACAGAAGTTACGGTGGCCGACAGGAAGTGATGTCGTCGTCTGAGACAGCAGAGAGGAGCCAGTTAACCAATGAGGTTTCTTTACAAAGATAAATTAAGAAATTAGGTTTACTTGATTATTTAGTAAAAAGATGTTATTGCGAATATTATTGTCACTTGTTCATCATTGTGTCAGTGTTTTATTCGCTGACTTTAGTTTCGCTTCTTTGCACGAGGAACAACATAGTGACGAAACGCGTTTGTCCGCTCAGGGCCACCGTAGAAATATGTGGATGTAAGCGGACCCGCGGTGTGTGTAGAGAGAAACGCCTCATTCTAAGCTAATAAACACATAGCGGTTCATTATTTAAGGTCTTTATAAACCACTGAACACACAGTTATGTTTATGATATTGCATTTCTGTCAACAGATCCTCCTGAATATTACACACTGCACCTTTAAGGAGAAGAGATCAGAACTTCTGATCCAAATCTACACTCTAACTGAACACAAAGTCTAACTGAGACTATTTTCGTTACAAACCAGTGTGTTTGATCATATTAAATAAAAATAATATGATAAATAATTCACAGTATAAAGTAGCGTTTAGAGCTTCTGTAGCTCCGCCCCTTTTCAGTGCTGCGCTCGTTGTGTTTCGTCTTCCGGTTTGTAATTTCACATCATAAAGGAAAGATCGTACAGAAAATCAACAGTCTAATTGGGAAAAACAGTTAAAAGGGCCATTATATTGGCAGAAATATGTATTTAAGGGTTTGTAATCATGTGACTGACGTCCCCCTTACAGAAGTCATGAACGAGTCTGAAACTTTTAAACTGCAGTTTTCAATCTAAAGCCGATCGATCCGATGGGAAGACGGGCGTGTGAACGGGAGAAAGATCAGTCCAATTCTCTTCAGAGACTCAACAGATGGGATCAGGAGGGCAGGGAGTGTGTGAGTGTGTGTGTGCGTGAGAGTGTGTGTAGGAGTGAGTATGAGTGAGTGTGTGTTTGTGTGAGAGTGTGTGTAGGAGTGAGTATGTGTGTGTGTGTGTGTGTGTGTGTGTGTGTGTTTGTGAGACTGAGAGGACCAAATGTCCCCACAAGGATAGTAAAACTTGAGATTTCCTACTTTGTGAGACTTTTTGCTGGTCCTCACAAGGAAAATTGATTAATAAACATAATAAAATGTGTTTTTTGAAAATGTAAAAAAGCAGAAAGTTTTTGTGTGATGGGTAGGTTTAGGGGTCGGGTTAGTGTGTGTGTGTGTGTGATGGGTAGTTTTAGGGGTCGGGTTACTGTGTGTGTGTGTGTGTGATGGGTAGGTTTAGGGGTCGGGTTAGTGTGTGTGTGTGTGTGTGATGGGTAGTTTTAGGGGTCGGGTTACTGTGTGTGTGTGTGTGTGATGGGTAGGTTTAGGGGTCGGGTTAGTGTGTGTGTGTGTGTGTGATGGGTAGGTTTAGGGGTCGGGTTAGTGTGTGTGATGGGTAGGTTTAGGTGTAGGGTTAGTGTGTGTGTGTGAGAGAGAGAGAGAGAGAGAGAGAGAGAGAGAGAGAGAGAGAGAGAGTGAGTGTGTGTGTGTGTGTGTGAGAGAGAGAGCGTGAGTGAGTGTGTGTGAGAGTGGAGGAACACACAAGGACAGTAAATCAAACACAATCTACAGGAACATCCAGTGCATTCGATGCTGTGCCGCCGCTCTGAAACCAGTCGTGTGAGAAACAGGAAGTGAAGAGGAGCTTGTGTTCGAGTTCCTGTGAAGATCCGGCATGATGCTGGAATATAGCACAACATATCCTGCAACACTGAATCTACAGATACAACTCTTCTTAACTCTTATAGAGCTGAAGTAACTGTCTTCCACGTAATGTCTTCCGGAATTAAAATGTACGGAAAGACTTTTTATCTCACAATTCTAACTTTTTTCCTAGAATTGTGAGATAAAAAGTTAAACAAGCTTCTAAAGTGCCATATGCTGCTATATTAAAGGCTCCTAATGTTGTTTTGGCGTCTCCTACAACACGTTCATCAGAGGTCAAACACACTGTAATGTCCTCATAATCTCCACTGCAGCTTCAGCTCTGCCTCTCAGTGTCTGAAACGCTTCCATCGAGGATTCAGTCTCTCTAAGCCCCGCCTCTCTGAGAGCTGCTCTGCTGTGATTGGTCAGAACGCTCATTATCATATCTGACTCTCAGCTCTTGATCAGAGTGATGCGAACAGTAACGATGGCGTGGGTTTCACCGTCTCAATCTCAGAAAACAGCGTCTTCTCGACACAAACAACACGAGCCGAACTCTTCCAGTCTCAGATACACTAGTGTTTGAGGGCGGGGCTAAGAGACGCTGCTCAGCCAATCAACACCACAGGCTGGCATTATGCAAATTAGCTACAAACCTACAGGATCAGCAGGAAGTGAATCCTTCTTTAAGGAGACAAAAACTTT